CTTTGTTTTGTCTCTTAACGCCCGGGGTTTTCTCCCAACCTCCTCCACCTGCTCTTTAGCATGAAAGCAAAGGCAATGGCTGAGTCAGTTGAAACCTAGCAAGTGATGCTCAGTGTCTCTCGGGGGAAAATGTTTAATTCCTCGGAGATCCTCTTCCACCTGAGCTGACCTCTGGATGACCCGGGAGGACGGAGGAGGTAGGAGACCTTGAGGATGTGTCTCCAGCGGCTGCGGGTCCGCCTGGCGCTGCGCCTCCTGCTGGCTTCTGGGCCTCAGTGCAGCTGACACCCGGGGTCTGTGGTTCCTCAGTGCCCGGCTCCCAGAGCACCGCATCCCCCATCAGCCCAATTAGCCTCTGCTGGTGTCGCCTAAGTTTGCCTCGGGGGGTCCCACAGCAGGCCCTTTGCGCCATAGGAACTAACGGCGGCTTGTGGAGACCCTGCTCTCTGACAGGCTGTGCCATTCCCATTCATTCATTCAATTACTATACATACATACATACATACATACATTCAGTATCCGGCCTCTTTGCCCTTAATAATAGCTCTGTCTCTGTGACCCACCTTCCCTGTCCAAGTCTGGGCCCAGAAAGGGAAACCAGAAGACGCATTCCTGACCACTTCTCTGTCCTATCTCCCACTCTCTCTCTCTTTATTTCTTCCCACAGTCTCTGAAATCAGAAGAGAAAAATCCTCTAGTCTTGTCTTCTTCCTGATTCCAGCTAAACCTTTAGAGCAGGCTGGTGTGTTTACTACCAGAGAACTCTGTGAACGAATCCTTCCAAATACAGTAATTGATGTGTTAAAGCAGGGGAATGGGGGAACTGGAAAATCTCTTCTCAGGCCAAAAAAGGATGACAGAAGCTGAATATTAAATTTTGAACTTGTCTTTGCATTCTTTTTTAACAGATTTCAATCTGTCCCCTTTCTACTCTTTCCCCTTCCTCCCCCACCCCCACACACAGGCAAACAGGTACCTGAATACCAGGACCAGAGCAAGGGTGTATGCAAGGGAAGGCAAAAGATAGGCACATTTAAAATTTTAAAACAGTAGATATAGTTCAACAGTTATTTAAATCATTAAAAAGAGTTAAACAATTAATTCCTCGGTCATGAACTGCAGAGAATGCCTCTTTAGTCCATCTGTGTCCTAAAAATACCCTCTTGAAATTCCCTGTGTTCCTTACCCTGTATTCTGAGGCACTAGAAGACTATAAATTCCCAAAGGAGAGGACTCTAAGACAGTATAGTAAGTGACGTATTTTGTCTGGTATTCTTCCATGCAGAATTAACTGTTTAATATGCTCTAAAATGCTCTTAGCTTAAGGCTCATCACAGGCCTGTGCTTTAGTTTACACATTTTGCCTGTTTCTGACAAGCATGTTCCCAGTTCTCAACTAACGTTTCATTCTCAGCCAACACACGTATGCATATGTAAATAACCAGCTTTTCTCTTTCTCTCTCTGTAAAGGATGGTACAACAGCGTTACTGAAAGCAGCCAACAAAGGGTATAATCATGTTATAGAGGAGCTGCTGAAATTCTCACCCACCCTCGGTATATTGAAGGTAAGACCTAAAGAGAAACTTAACCAAACTATAAAAGACAGAGTTTAGACATGAAGAATTCCACACGTGGGGACTACAGTAGAATCCAGGTACCATGTGCATGGTTAATTGTATTCTTTAAAGAATATACCTGCAATTTTCTCCATGTTAGAGATTCATGGGCACTGATAGAAGTGGGAAGGCAATAAAGAGCGAGTGTGCTGGCCCCTCTGGCCTGTCGCAGTGAGCTCGTTCTAATCTTCCATGAACTTGGAAGTCAAAAAGCTGTACTTGTAAAAATTGTTTGGAAAGTAAGAGTAAGCAGTCTATGAAAGTGAACTCTCTATGAATAAAAAAATGAGCTTCAGAAGATCTAGTCTTGTTTCAAAGAGCTCTTTTTTGGCTTGGTTTCTTATTGTTAGCCACATTGCATTTAGGCAACATTGATAGGTTCATTAAGATTTAGATAAGTGAAATGTTACCAGATTAGTGTATTGTCACACATAGCAAACATGGAAAAATTCTACTTGCTGGAATTTTCCTCTGGATATGATATTTAACTTGTCTATAAAATCAGACAGTGTTTATGTGGATTTTATATTTTTAATATATATGAAGTAGTTTATTTGAAAACTAAGCTTTCATTTAGATACCATTCACAGATATATGTACCTTCTGGAACAGATAACTTATGACTGCCCATCCCTCTTATATTTGGTTTGTTATATTCTCTTCTTCCCTCCTAGAATCCAGCTACATGCTGCACATAACTGCTTCCTTATTTCAATAAACATTGGCAGTAAATTTCATAAAATGTCAGCAACCTATCCACTAGACCCTTCTGTACCCAGAAATGCTCCAACTCAGGGCTGAAGAGGTGGTCCTCACCCCACCTACTCTAACTCCTTTTTTTAAAAAAATTTAATTAATTTATTTATTTTTGGCAGTGGAGGGAGGTAATTAGATTTATTAATTTATTTATTTTAGAAGAGGAACTGGGGATTGAACCCAGGACCTTATGCATGCTAAGCATGCGCTCTACCACTGAGCTATACCCCCCTCCACCTGCTCTAACTCTTAAGCCCTGTCACCCCACAGGGTCTCTCCTGCCCACCAGAGCGAGTGGCGTGTGTGCAGCTAGGCTGACAGGTCGGCCCGTAGGTCAGCAGACTGTTCCTCCAGCCTTGAGGACGTGTGCTCACCAGAAGCACACATCCTCTAAGAAAAAAAAATGTTTGACATGGCATCGTTGTTCTTCCCATAGCAAATTCTAATGCGTGTACAACAGACCGAGCGAACACAAAGTCGTGTACACACTGGGCGGATCCCTTATTTCACTTGCAAAAGAATGTTGGCAATACTTACACTGACCGTCCTCTGTGTCCCTGCGGACACTACATCAGGTGCTGGCGTGGCTTTGAAAAGAGAAGAGAAGAACCCATAAGGCTCACCGCGCAGGCTGGTTCAGGAGGAAAGCCAGGCTGAGTGCTGATGGCCGTGAGCTCACGCCCAACACACTCTGTCTTCTCTCCTAGAACGGGACCTCAGCGCTCCACGTGGCCGTGCTCAGCGGGAACATTAAGACAGTGGCGCTTCTCCTGGAAGCTGGGGCAGACCCAGCTCTGAGAAACAAGGTTCCGTCTTAGTCATCTTTTCACTGCATCAGGCACCTGTGCAAAGAGATAAGGCAGCTTCTACCGAAGCCAGGACAGCATCTCTGTGTCTCCAGTCACTATCTTCATACTTGGGCGGAGGAGGGGCATAAAATGATGTCATTGTAGGTTGTGAGTGAGCAGTACATTTGGGCCCAGAGGATGATACTATAACCCCTGTGTCATCAGGGATTTTCTGGTAACAGTGGGGCAGGGGGGAGTAGGGTCGTGAGTGTTTTATCATCAGAGATGTGTCCCCGAGATGTCAAAATTCTGGTAGTTCAATCACCACCCTCCATAAGTTGAATACTCGTATCTTGAGAATTGCCTGTACTCTTTTTGGTGACTGCATGGGGAAAATGTTGCTTTTATATTGTTAGCAGGACTTCGCCCTGCTGTTATGAAACCAACCCATATTGTTTTATAGCTCACAATTCTTCTTAGTTTTCAATCAAGCCAAACTTGGAGGTGGGAGATTGCACAGTAACCACAGAAAAAATGATTGTCATTGTATTTCCTCCTACTCAACAGCTGTATAAGCAGTCAGATGTAGAGACTGGGGGTAGGAGAGTAGCCGAGGAAAGGTCTTGAGAAAACACACCAAACTACTTTTGGAGGAGGAAGTGGGATGTGTTCTTATTAATAGTGGAAGGTATGAAAAGCAATTTATATACTTTTTGAATTTTATATATACTGTTTGAATTTTTATCAGCATCTATTAATGTTTTAGATTTTATTAATAATAAACCAAAAACATGTTGAGTGAGACTGGGTCAAGTGGGGGGTGGGGGCTCCTGAAGCTGCTTTGCGCCACGTATCCTATGCTCTGGGGATTTCTAAACTCTGCCTTCTCATCGAAAGATGTCTCAAGTCCCTAGCAGGCAGACTGCCTTATATAATCAACTAATTAAATACATGATCAAATCTGTTTATTGAGCACTTACTAGATAAGCTAGGCATTGTGCTGGAATTGAGGATATGGTGATTAATATATGTGGACCCTGGTGATATTTACATTTAAATACATTTAAAGAAAACCTTGAATGCTTTGCCCCAGAAGACTGAGTCCAGTGGGGTTCTTCATCAGTGGAGGAGCAAGCGTGGCTCAGGGGCCTCTCTTTGGAGCCCCTAAAACCACACCGGCTGTGGGAAGTCACTGATTCCTGTCTCATCTTCTTTCAGGCCAATGAACTTCCAGCAGAACTAACCAAAAATGAGCGTATATTGCGTCTCCTCCGAAGTAAAGAAGGACACAGGAAGAGCTAACTTAGTTCCGTATTTGACTGAAAGATAGAGACGTTAATCACATTGTCCAAAAAGAAGTTGCTTTTCAAATAGTGTTGGAAATTCCTGTGAGAAAGAAAATGCCCAGAATGCCCACCCTGGGTCCCTGACCGAGAAGAGCTGTGTTTTGTGCTCTGGGTCAGAAACAGAGCAGCTCAGGGACCCTTCCCTCATGTGGTGGGCTTCTCCCATGGGCCTGTAGCCCCAGTCCCGTGGGGCCTGGCATGTTCCTCAAGTCCACAGAAACTCATTTTAAACTACATCAACTTGGGTCTTTCAGTTAAACTCTAACATAGAGTTAAACCCTCTAGGAAGCTTAAGCAAGGAAACAGAAAGCTTTGTTCCTTGAAAAAGACTCAAAGTCTGACCTTTGATGAATCAACACACTTCTGCTTTTGTGTTAAATGTATGTGTGCGCAAAGATATAGCTCTGTCATATTTTACATATATGTGTATGTCATTCCGATGTAAAATGTTTTCTTCTATCCAAGGGTCCCAGCTATGATTCTTGTGAATCAATAATGTGACATTACTAAAAAGCCACTTCTGACATTCCACCACATCCTTTTCGAAGATGGACTGTTGAAAAAAGACCAATTGTTCATGTGTGAGTTGGTCCTCATCTTATTCTTAACGTGTAAAAATAATTTTTACCTGGAGTCAAATTGTAGGTATGGTAGGATACAAGTGGTAAATTTGGAAATTCAGAAAATTACAAACCTCAAGAAATGTAGGCTTGTCTCCTTGAGCTGTTACTTTGGGACTCTTGTTGGGGCTCTATTTCTACTTAGCCATAACTAAGTAGACTTAATATGCTGTGGAATCTTGAGCTTCCAACACCACATTGTTTGATACAATGACTTTGGGGTCCTTGGATAAAATGTGATATATGTAAGAACAATATGTTGCTATTACTATTGCAGGAGTGTAAGTAATAAAAGACTGTTATTAGTATTTAATAAGTGTTCACTTATGCATGTTCTTGAGCTGATTGATTCCAAGAAAGAAACCTGGGTTTTATTGAATTATTCCTTTTAGGAGCGTCAACATTTATATAGAATGTACTTTATGATCAATGGTGTCTAAATGCCTCAGTCAGTGCCTAATTGCACACATAAAAATTAAACCCCCTTTCTATAATCTACCATGATGAACACTGATGGTATTTCTGTTATTTAAACATATCTTTAGTTTTCTTGTTCATGATCTACTCTGGTTTCCAGCCAATGTTCTATGTAAGGACATGTTAAGATGGAGGGAAATGTTGTAATCCCAAAATATACATATATATTTTAACCAACTTGCAATGGTACTAAAACCATGTAAGTCTTTAAGTCAGTAAATAATGGAATATAACTTTTTAAATTAGAAGATATTCTCTTAAAGTTTAAGATCAATAAAGAATCAATCAACAAAAATCAGCTTATTTTAATCAGTATCACAAGCAAAGCCAATAACGAGCAACCCACAGAGCCCCCAGACAGGCCTACACTCTGACTAGCCATGTAACCATCCTGCAAACTAATTTTGGGATAAAAAATTAGAAAGCTCTGTCTATACTGCTAAAACATCCAGACAGAAACATTTTAGAGGCTAATAAGCAGTACCAATTTCCTCACTGGCTTTCCTTTCTTCAGCAAAGTTGTACACATACACATTTTCTTTCATGGGAGTTTTATAAAGATACGTTCATTTTGAAGAGGAAAATAATATGGCCTGAAATGCTTTATTTTTTTCCCAACCGAAAAATGGTTACCCATCATGAGGTATGAATCAAAACAGTATAATTGGTACTGATAACAAAGTTCCAAAAGACAAAATGGGGTGAAATCACAAACTTAATGTTTTTCACTAAAGCATGTTGTGTTTGGCCTATTTGTTGGATCGTTTTCAGTGGATAATGTTCTTGATCAATATTAGGGCCATAAAAATGAATCTAGGAGCTTTAAGAATATTTAACAGAGGGCTTATTAACTGTAGGTGAGAGGTCTGTAGCTTAGAAGGATCACCTTTGGTCCAGATGAGAAAAGATGACGATGTTATCCACGGCAGGGAAGATGATTATATTAATTACTCACCAAAGACTGAACAAAAGGTCTTTTATTTAAAGTTAAATTATATTTATTTTGCACACAGGTAGATGGTTATTTTCTGTTAATCTAATTTACAATTCAGTGAGCTCTGCATCTTAACTTAGAAGTAGCAATTCCTATGCAAATTATTTGCCAAAAGTTTTTCATTACATCCATTTGTTTGATGACAAATTCCATGTTATAATTCAAAATAAAGTTGATATACTACTTTATTTGCCTTTGTTGCTTTTTCCTGTTTGTTTTTAGTCTAAAGTTATTTCTATGTGATTTTTAATAGCATGGAATTTTAGAGTGTATAATTCAGCTCTGTTAATAAAATATATTGATGTTTGGAATCCTGAATAGGATTTTTAAGCTTTATGGACCTGTGACTTCATTTTTTCTACTGTGGAGAACTTTTGTAATGATCCCAAAAGGTTTTTTATTCAAACAAAAATTCCTGGGAGTAGTCATGAAACGTACTGAAAATAGAAACTCATTTATATGTCGTCATGATTTGATATTCGTAGACATTGTGGAAGGATTCCCCTCATCTATTTGATTTGTATTATCTATGATGCTCCTGGCTCTTCAGTCCTTTGCAGTGGTTTTATCTTTTAAAACAACTGATGTTTTTGCACAACTTCTTATTTAGGAAACAAGTATTTGCGATGGTAATCTCCGGAATCCGGTAATCTCAGAACTCCATGGCCATTCTGGGGTCCTCCCCTGCTCCAGCCAAACACTGCTGGTTCAGTTGCAACACTTTGAGTACGTCTGCATGAAGCTGACTACTTTATCATCAGCGAGAGCACCAGGAGCCTGAGAGCAAGCAGATACATGAGGGCCAGGAGGTCTTCATGAAAGATCTAGGACCAAAAGTCCAGAGGAAATCTATAGTTTCAGCACCCAGCCAGTCAGGTGGACATTTCAGGGCTGAGGAGGTGGGGAGGCAAGATAGTAACTGAATCGGTGGCTTTGTAGAGTAGGAATGGGAATGTCACCTGCATCATGGTCCTACCTCCACTGGGTTTTATAGTTACTGCAGATGGATATTTAGTCTTTTCATTGTAATTGGCTTCCGCTGTGGGGAGAAGAGATCCCTTAACCTCCGTTTCCTTAACTTCCAAGTGGAAATGACTGATGCTTTTGAGTGTTCTTAACTGAAATCTGAGGGGAAATTGTTGTGGGACACAAGTGGCCGCCTGTGACATGGTGATGCGCTGGCTGGTAAAAGAATTTACCAGAATAAATTATGGGACTAGAAAGGAGTTTATTAGGGTACACTGTCATAAACAACAGCGGGCCACGCATGTGAGGGGTGCCTGCATGAGCACAAAGGGCGGGTTGTTGGGGTCTTTTATAAGGTTGGGTCACAAGGTTCCTAATCGGCTTGTGCACAAGTCTCTGGTTGTAGGTGAGGTAAGAGGTTTAGGGTCCGTGAAAGGCCAGGGGTTTGACTCTGATAAGGTAGGTTGAAACAAGCCCGCCTGAGCATTACCTAGGGCTATTAGTTTGTTAGGGCAAACCCGCCCAGTACAGAATGTCAGACATCTGCGAGCCCAGGAATGGGTGTCGTTGATCTTTGAAAGACTTCAGTTGGCCCAACAGAAATGTTACCAGAAATGCATATAATAAAAATGTGTAAGACCAAAAAAAGATTATAGTAAGTGTAAGTCTCAAAAACAGACACTTTTTCCTTGTGTTACTTCATTTCACCTAGAACTTAATGGACTCTGGTCCCACCTCTGGGTCAAACTTCCGGGGGTGGGGTGGGGGGCTCTTCTCCCGCCCGCGGGTTCCCTGCCACGCTTGGCTCCGCCAGCAGATGGTGCGGTTCTAGCACTTTTCCAAAAGTGGGCTGAGCGGACAGAAAACAGAGATTGGGTGGCTCAGAAGCTTGGCCCACAGCCACCCTCCGCCCCTCGCGCTCTCGGATCACAACACTGTCAGGCCACTGCGTGGCACCGCCTCCTGCTTTGCTAGAAGTGCCCTGGCGCGGATTCCTTTCGGGTGACTGGGTTTGGGAGGAGAACTTGCTCGGGTGCTAATTGGGGCCGAAATAAACACTGAGGAACAGGGTCTTAATTGGGATAACAGTCCCCAAGCACTGTCATTTGCGAAACCTCCTCGCCGACGGTCTCCAACCGAGGAAAGACAAAAAGGGGAAAAAGGAGTTAAAGCATCAAAACCACACACCGTTGGGACAACTCCAGAAATACCCTCCCCAGGCCGGATTCCAAAGGTTCAGCGGCCCCCGTCTGGGAGTCCCTGGCCCCATGCCGCGCCCCTAGTCGCCGCAGGGCGAGGAAGTGCGGAGCTGGGACTCAGGGAGGTCTCTGTGGCATCACTTGGCCGAGGCCCGTCTAGCCCCGCCCCTCGTCCCGCCCTCCCCGGACGGCCCCGCCCCAGAACCGGTCCGGGGCGTCCCGGCAGCGGCTCCACCCAGGAGGGGGAGGAACCTACCCGGCCTCCTTCC